ATGGTCAGCTGCTGCTGCTGTTGAAGCATGGTCAGCTGCTACTACTGTTGAAGCATGGTCAGCTGCTGCTACTGTTGAAGCATGGTCAGCTGCTGCTACTGTTGAAGCATGGTCAGCTGCTGCTACTGTTGAAGCATGGTCAGCTGCTGCTACTGTTGAAGCATGGTCAGCTGCTACTACTGTTGAAGCATGGCCAGCTGCTACTACTGTTGAAGCATGGTCAGCTGCTGCTACTGTTGAAGCATGGTCAGCTGCTGCTACTGTTGAAGCATGGTCAGCTGCTGCTATTGTTGAAGCATGGTCAGCTGCTACTACTGTTGAAGCATGGTCAGCTGCTGCTACTGTTGAAGCATGGTCAGCTGCTGCTACTGTTGAAGCATGGTCAGCTGCTGCTACTGTTGAAGCATGGTCAGCTGCTGCTACTGTTGAAGCATGGTCAGCTACTGCTGCTGTTGAAGCATGGTCAGCTGCTGCTACTGTTGAAGCATGGTCAGCTGCTGCTGCTGTTGAAGCATGGCCAGCTGCTGCTGCTGTTGAAGCATGGTCAGCTGCTGCTGCTGTTGAAGCATGGTCAGCTGCTGCTACTGTTGAAGCATGGTCAGCTGCTACTACTGTTGAAGCATGGTCAGCTGCTACTACTGTTGAAGCATGGTCAGCTGCTGCTACTGTTGAAGCATGGTCAGCTGCTACTACTGTTGAAGCATGGTCAGCTGCTACTACTGTTGAAGCATGGTCAGCTGCTGCTTTCTGTTGAAGCATGGTCAGCTGCTGCTACTGTTGAAGCATGGTCAGCTGCTACTACTGTTGAAGCATGGTCAGCTGCTACTACTATTGAAGCATGGTCAGCTGCTACTACTGTTGAAGCATGGTTAGCTGCTGCTACTGTTGAAGCATGGTCAGCTGCTGCTACTGTTGAAGCATGGTCAGCTGCTGCTACTGTTGAAGCATGGCCAGCTGCTGCTACTGTTGAAGCATGGTCAGCTGCTGCTACTGTTGAAGCATGGTCAGCTGCTGCTACTGTTGGAGCATGGCCAGCTGCTGCTACAGTTGAAGCATGGCCAGCTGCTACTACTGTTGAAGCATGGTCAGCTGCTGCTACTGTTGAAGCATGGTCAGCTGCTACTACTGTTGATGCATGGCCAGCTGCTGCTACTGTTGAAGCATGGTCAGCTGCTACTACTGTTGAAGCATGGTCAGCTGCTGCTACTGTTAGAAGCATGGTCAGTGCTACTACTGTTGAAGCATGGTCAGCTGCTGCTGCTGTTGAAGCATGGTCAGCTGCTGCTGCTGTTGAAGCATGGTCAGCTGCTGCTACTGTTGAAGCATGGTCAGCTGCTGCTACTGTTGGAGCATGGTCAGCTGCTGCTGCTGTTGAAGCATGGTCAGCTGCTACTACTGTTGAAGCATGGTCAGCTGCTACTACTGTTGAAGCATGGCCAGCTGCTGCTACTGTTGAAGCATGGTCAGCTGCTGCTACTGTTGAAGCATGGTCAGCTGCTGCTACTGTTGAAGCATGCCAGCTGCTACTACTGTTAAGCATGACCAGCTGCTGCTGCTGTTGAAGCATGGTCAGCTGCTGCTGCTGCTGTTGAAGCCATGGTCAGCTGCTGCTGCTGCTGTTGAAGCATGGTCAGCTGCTGCTGCTGCTGTTGAAGCATGGTCA